GTATCATACATATACAAATTAATAAAGACTTGCATCTAATGCCCTTTTACGATAAAAAAAAAAATAATAATAATAATTTCTGTTTTTACAAATTTTATAGTTTATTTAATTTTATTTTAATTTTAGCTTCAGTTATTTCAATTGTTTTTTTTTCAATTACATTTATTTTTTTTCTAATTTTTTTATATTCTTCAAATTTATAAAATGATTTTACAAATTTTTCTGAATAAATAGATATAACTATTATTTTGATACAGTTATTATATAGTATTATTTTGAATTTCTTTTTTAATATTAATTAAATATATATACAGTAGTACAAAAAATTTTGAAATTTTTTATTTATTTATTATTTAAAAACTACTGTATAGAAATTAATAAAAAACATAAAAAAAAAACAAAAAATCTAGAAATTTTATTAATATATAATTAATAATAAATTTTTTTTATTATTATTTTAATTATTAATTCCTATTTCTCTTTTATTGAATCTATAAAATTATTTAAAACCTTATTTGAAATTTTATCTCATTCTTCTATTATAAATTGTTTTAATTTTAAAATATTTTTTGGTAATTTCATTTCTACATTTCTTTTAGTAATAGTTCAAAGATTTTTAATAAGATTTAAATCTGAATTGTTAGAAGGCCAATCAATAATTTTAAAAAATTTTCATTTAAAATACTTTAGCAATTTTACTTGTATAATTGTAATCATTATCTTGTTAAAACATCAATTGTTTCCAAGTAGTCTATTAATTTCTTGTTTATAATTTTATAAAATATTGATATAAAATGTTGTATTTATATTTTTTTAAAACAAAAAAGATAAAATTTTTCTTTTGTACAAAATTTTTCCTATGCAAAGATTTTAATACAATTTTTAGACATTTTTTTAATTGGTCTTGCACTTTTATCCATTAAACAATTATATTTTTAAATAGTTGAAATGCTGTTTTATTAAAAAATAATATTTTTTTCGGTTATTATCAAAATATTTTTTTGTTCAAATAATGAGCTTCTTTATAAGCAATAGTAAGTATAAATATTATTTTGTAACTCATATTGATAAAATGTCTTAAAATTGTTAAATGTAATACTTTGATATTATATTTAATAATTTAATTGTCAAAATTCTTGAGAAAAGTCTTGAATTATAATATAAATATTGATCAATTACTTTTGATTCATGTGCTATAATCTTTTTATAATAACTACTATCAGATTTTCTTGAATTATTACCTTCAAATTCAATTTTTTGAGATTGTAATAGATAGTTAATTTATTTATATCAGTTTTGAAATATATTTTATTTGCAGAAATAATTTCACTATTTGCAAATATAATATAGTTTGTTATTAAGTATTTTTTTTAGAAGATAACATTATAAGAATAAGTTTATACCAAAAATAAAATGATCAAATAATTTTAAATACCTATATATATTGTTTGGAATATGTTGTTTATATTGTTGGCAGGAAATTGATATGGGGCATGACTGCACAAACATATTCCAGTGCATTGCGTACTCTGATTTGCAATAATTAATGGCTTATAGTCTATAGTGACATGTAAAGCTATGATGTAATTTTAGAAAGCTTAAATTAGCTATAATCTTAAATAGCTTATTAATTACAAATAGTCTAGTAAAGCTTGAGGAAAATCACATGGCATAATTATAGCCTAACAAAGATATATGAGACAAGATAAAAAAGAAAAGAATAGAATAAGAAAATCAAGAAAAGAGTAGTAACATAAATAATAAGAAAAACCATTCCTTAAATTAAAACCTTCTTAATTAGGACATGTGATTACCATTGCCTAACCAAGTAAATTCTAATTAATTTATCTAATCCAATACTTGTCACAAAATAGGATGACTAAGACCATAAAGAGAAAAGTAATAAAGATTTGTCATGAGAAGTAAATAACAGAAAGAGAAGGAAAGCATTAGTAGAACTTGACTAAACAATTTACACACCTCAAGTAAAAAAGCCAAACTCTTACCTGATGTTATGTGAGAAGTGCTTAGGGAAAATAATAGACTCACTAAGAGATGTCAACAATATATTTAAAATTTTATATGAATTGTTTTTGTTTTGAAAAGATTATATATATTTATATTATATAAATAGTATTTCAAAATTTTTTGCATCATATATATTATATATAAGCAAGCTAGTATTTAATTTTCTGAAATCCTGAAAGAAATATTATTTCTTTTATAATATATATCTTGTTATATACAAATCAAATAAAAAAATAATATTTACCTATAGGAAAATCTTTTCTAAAAAATAAATAAATCTTCTAACTATAGATAGCTAAACTTATATATATTATTGAAATTTATAGATTTTAATATAATTAATATAATAAAAAAAACTCTTTTTCACTTCCTTCAAATATTTGAAAATTTTCTTTTTAGGAAATTTTTAAATTGTTTACTTTTTTTTTTATTTCTTTCTCTTCTCCTGTTCCTGTTTTTCTTATTTTTTCCTTATGTTTCCCCTTTGTTCTACAAACTCTACTTTTCAATTTATTCTTTTTTCTTTTTTTGTTAGATTTTCCCTTTTTTTCTTTCTAGATCTCTTTTTTTCTTTTTTTTTTTGAAATATTACTCTATTTTATTACTTCTCTAATCAGCAGGTTTCCTCTTTTTGAGAATTGTTAAGAAGTAATAACTTCTTTCAAGATATGGGCTTTGAAAATTTTTTTCTTTTTTACAGTTTTTAGAAAAAGAATAAATTTATTATTTTAAATGTCATCACTTAATTTTTTTAAACTTGCCATTAAATTATTTGATCGATTATGTTAAACAACAGGCAACAAAAAATATTTTTTATTATAAGATTCCATTATTTTTAAATAGTACCAACAATGCATTTTTTATAAAGAAATGCATAATTGATCCAAAGTAAGTAATGATGATTTGTTCTTATACCCAATTGTTTTAACCATTTGTAACATACGATACAAGCTCGATTACTTAAATATTTTGTATTTCAATTTTAAAAATATTTTGGTTTACCGAAATCAAAAAAAAAAATAATAAATCCAAGAATAATATTTTTATTATTAGAATCTTGTTTTAAAAAATTTTTTTTTATATTTTATAATACTTGCACAGTATATTAAAATTAATTTATTTTTTCAAAAAAAAAAATATTATTAAACCATTATCAGGAATATTACCGTATTTTAAATTTTCGATAACCATGATCGTTGACATTGCGTACTTGTTGATTATTCGGATTTGATTTAACAATCACAATATGATTAATTATATTTAAGATGAGGTGTTTATTTAAAAAAAGATATACTGTATATAGCATAGAGTAAGTGTTTGCATTGTGATTGTAGATAGATAGATAGATATGATATAATATGATATGCACAGTACAAACTTGCTAGAAAAATACTACAGTATATATAAAAATTCCTAATGCTTGGCAATAATTGTTTCTTCATTACACAAAACTGCAATGTCGTTATGAACCTAACCTATTATATAATTTGATTTATTTTAAATACATTCGGACGTTCGAATCCACAAGGGGATGGGATTTTCTTTAACGAGACATGCTAAATTTTAATGCGTATTGTAGATCTAATTGAAAATTAGAAAATTTTAAACAGGATCAAAATCATTCAATATATCAATTCATAGTTTGGATCAGTATTTTGTGCTAGAGTAATGGTATTTTCTTTTGATGTATAGAGACCACAATGTCAAAATAGTAATAGTCACATTAAACCAATTAATATTCTTCTCAAAACAAGTTTGAATCATTATTCGCCCGAGGCCCTATAGATACAAACCCAGCCAATGTTTTCACGTTTCAGATAAGAGCTGCATTTTTTGAATTTTCTTGACCAAAGCCACTCTTCAAGTTCATCACAATAAAAACGACCTCTGGCCCCTCTTCCCAACTTTACCTCTTTCAATTTTGGTAACACGTTATTCTTAAACAATGGCGCCAACATATCTCTATCAACATATCTACGCAGACCAAATGTTAAACATTCTAGCACCTCACATTGAGCAATCCAGTAAAATATGGAGTTGTCGCCCCTAAAATCAGCATCCTCAAATTCAATACGCTTCAAGAACATAATTTGAGTTGTTAAAGAGTACATTGCTAATTTTTCGGCGATGCCTCTGTACCGAAAGTGCAATAGAGAATTCTGGGATAATATTAATGAAGCAAGGTCCTTGTCTGGAATGTGCTTCTTTCGAGCGGTGGTTCGGTAGAATGTAACGCCAAGACGTTTCTTCAGTAACAGTGATTATTATTTATAGATTATGAATTAGAAGCAATGCGTTATGGTTAACTTTACAATTGAATGTTAGATCGATCAAGAAAGAAAAAGAAAGGACATACTAAATTATTGCAGGTTATGGCCAATTCGCCCAACAGCTTAGACTGCTTAAGATTATGGGCCAAATCGCCAACTTCCAACTTCTTTATGGTTCCCAGGTACATCAAAATGTCGGTAGAATCCATTAACGCAGCATATTTACAAGTTTGTTGCCAATCCTCAATATAATCCTCGGGACAAACCAGCTTCAACTTGGTTAACACCGATCCCTTCCTGATAAATAGTCTCAGAAAATATTGACCGAGCATGGCAGTCTGGACTTTCACCATCCGCCTGTATTTGTTTTTCCTTGTGCTATGTATCTTTGTGCCATCCTTGTTGTTAAAGAATGTGCTGCTCTTTGATTTCATTTGTGAACGAGTATCGGGATTAAAAAATTTAGAATTTAAATAAGTCGAGACAGGAAACTCCAATTCCCTCCATTTTTCTTTATACTTTTTTGTTAGAAAGGCCGAAAGGTTATGCTTGATTAACCTTTCGATGGAAAATATAAAAGTAACATAGTTCAACTTCCTTAGAAAGTACGGATATTCAAATAGTGGTGTTACGTCGACATTGGAACTCGGAAAATCGATGTACCAAGCCCCCAGAGCGGATCTCTCGCTAGAATGAAAAAACCTTGAATAACAAAGCAACAACTTCGTTGATTTAGTTAAAATTTTGTATGTGTCTTTTTCCTTAAACTTCCACGCATGTTTAAAAGGTTGACTCCAAAGAATGTAAATCGCCACTCGGCACCATGCTCTATTGACCAAAATACACGAATGTAAAGTTGAGATATTCGTATGATGAAATATATTCTCCAGAATTTCTGGCGGAAGGTAAGACATTAATGAATCGAGATCAACAAAAGGTGTTATGGTGGGACACATTAATCATGTACGTATGGTATGTATGACACAGATCAACGACGTACATTTTGCATCACAGTACTGCATGGAATTTGCAAAATGTACATTACAGTATCTTTCTTGATGTCAAGAATTAACAGTTCTAAAGCAATTATCAAGGATGTATCAGTTATATAATGCATATTACCAGTGCAAGATTATCTGTCAATCTTGTTTACTGCCTACAAAGCCGATCAAAAGAAAAGAAAAGAAATAATTGATGTTTAATTAAATCGGAAAATTGAATAATGTATATTGCAAACGTTGAAGCGTATGTGATATATTTACACATAAATCAATGTAGTCATGGTATATGAAATCATTAAAGAAAATACAGTATGTAAAGCGTTACAAGAATCAAAATAATATTGTTTTTTATGTAAAATACGTACTGTACTTACGTACACATTAATGAAGTACTGTACTGTACGTACACAGTAATTCGAAAGTCATTCCTATTCAAGAGATTTGAAAACCGGTATTAATACTGTAAATGATTGCACAAAAAAAGCATCATTTATTGGAGGGCCTGTTCATCACCGATTTACATTAGAATTCTTCGCAAAATGGAACCGCGCAACATTGAGAATGCTCGTTCCAATTTCCGTAATAGGTATCCTCTCATCAGGTCTTCTCTACATCATTCACATATACTGTAATTGACTAAACCTTTTCATTCTGTAAAGGGGTTATCTGCCAATTGAGAATTATGGGTTAATTGGAAATTTACGTACGGTCGCCTTATGTGGCACTGACGGGTCTATAGATTTCATGTGCTATCCAAAGTTTGATAGCCCTTCTATTTTTGTCAGATTGTTGGATCATGAGAAGGTATTTGATTAAAAGTTCCATCGATTTCCGTAATTCTTAATGCATAATACTTGCTTTAATATTTTATAGGGAGGTAGGTGATCTTCGAAAATCATTATGTTTTTCAAAAAAATTCTTAATCTATTTTTTTAACCACCTTTTTTTTTTTTTTTTTAAAAAAAAAAAGGACATTTCTCAATAGCTCCAACTGCTCATAAAAGCAATAAACAACAATATCATCCAAACTCTAACATTTTGTTAACCCGTTTCCTAGACGAAGATGGTGTCGGTGAAATATCGGATTTCATGCATCTTCCCGAAAAAGTTCACCGCGTCACTCCTAAGCCATTACTTCCATGGTTAATTCGTCATGTCGATGTTGTACGGGGTGAAGTCAATTTCCATCTCGAATTATTTCCTGCATTTAATTATGCACTAGATTCTCACACGACTGAGATTGTTGATTACAATGTCAAAAAAAAAGATGGGAGTGAGTACATGGGAAACAAGAGAGTTATATTCACTTCAAATAGTTTACAGATGGATCTTAGATATATTATTGAAGATGGAGAAACAGAGGTTCCATGCATTGAGTTTAGAATAGTCGAGAGGGCAGGGTTCAAAGGGCCGGGAGTGGAAGCGAATTTTACATTGAGAGGGGGGCAAAAGGTGGATTTCATATTTAGACAAGTTCCCGTTACGACAGCTGATGGGGAACTGGATCCTGAAATTAGTTCAAAATTTTTAAAGGGCATGTTCAGAGAAACATTGAGTTTTTGGCAGTCTTGGATTGCTCAAAGTACTTATAAGGGAAGATGGAGAGAATTTGTTCATAGGAGCGCATTGGCTTTGAAATTGTTGACCTATGAACCGGTAAAAATAGATCTATTCTTTTCTTCTTTTTTAGAATTTCTAATCCTTACATTTGTTCATGTTCTCTTAATAGACAGGAGCTGTAGTAGCAGCGCCAACTTTTGGACTTCCGGAAGGTGAGTTCTCAGTATACAATTGAAAATCGATTCGCATTTATACTGTATACTGTTTGACAAATATATGTTATAGAAATTGGTGGTCCAAGGAACTGGGATTACAGATATACATGGGTTCGAGATTCGGCATTCACTTTCTATGCATTGATGAAGTTAGGGATGACCGAGGAAGCAAAAAACTATATTAACTTCATGGATGAAAGATGTCGAGATTTGGTAAAAAAAGTTTTTTGATATTCGCTTATTTTTACTTTTGCCATTCGTTCGTTAATCAACAATCCCGATCAGAATGAGGATGGATCACTGAACATTATGTACTCTATCGATGGTCACAAGGAACTCACGGAGATAGAACTTACTCATCTGGATGGATATCGATGTTCTCGTCCGGTGCGCATAGGCAATGGGGCGTACTCTCATTTACAACTCGATATCTACGGAGAGTTCATGGATGCCATGTATTTGTATAATAAATATGGTAGCCCAATTTCCTATGATATGTGGGTAAGTATTAGGAAATTGGTGAATTACGTGTGCAAAAATTGGATGGAGAAAGACATGAGTATTTGGGAGGTTAGAGGGCAAAAGCAAAATTTCACTTATTCTAAACTTATGTGCTGGGTAGCTGTTGATAGAGGTGAATTGATTGTGAAGACTACTTGAGTTTCATTATTCTCTTATTTTTCCCACCTTCTTGAACTCATCACCATTATCAATTGTGAAAAGGATTGAGATTGGCAGAGAAGCGTTGCCTTCCGTGCCCCGATCGAGATCATTGGTTAAAAGTTCGTGACACAATATATGAAGATATAATGGAAAATGCATGGAACCCTCAACGAAAAATATTCACGCAATCTTATGAATCAATGGACCAGTTGGATTCCTCGGTGTTGATCATGCCAATGGTATTTTTTATTAGCCCCACTGATCCAAGATTTTTGACCACCGTGAAACAAATTTTGTTACCTCCTGAAAAAGGTAGATTTTCTTTGAGGAAACTCGCTCGCCTTGAATTTATAATGATGATCGCCTGAATTTTGTAGGGGGTCTGATGGTCAATAATCTCGTATTCCGATACAATACCTCATCCACTGACGATGGTAAATGTTAGAAATTTGTTATCCATAAAATTTTTGTGTCGTGTTATTTCGTGTAACCTATTTTCTTACAAAGGACTTGGTGGTGAAGAGGGCTCATTCTCCATGTGCACGTTCTGGTTGATCGAATCATTGACAAGGGCCGGAAGATATGATAAGAATCTATTAGAAAAGGCCGAATTTATATTTGAGCAAATAATTAAATATGGAAATCATCTCAATTTGTTTAGCGAGGAAATTGCGAGTAGCGGAGAGCTATTGGGAAATTTCCCGCAAGCGTTTACGCACATTGCACTTATTAGCGGTAAGTTGCAAATCGAAATGTTGTTTCTATTTATTAGAATTAATTAATTCGTTCATTTTACAGCCGCAATTAACTTGGACCGCGTATTAAGCGAAAAATAAAGATTTTCATCGATATTATACAATGTCAACATTGAAGAGACAAGTAACACTAGACCTTTATTCATGCTTATGTTCTCTCTCATTAAACTGTTTTGGAAGTTGTCACTAAGCTTCATGTCGATGCCCAGTTTGCTTGATTTAGTTCGTTGAAAATTTACAATAGTCCGGTCATTATTTATTTTCAAATACTTGTGTGTTGCTGTCGAATTAACTTAAAATTATTTCCAGTCACAAAGAATATAAGAATGCGCTTATCTAAATGAAAATGCGTGCATGTCTAATGAATGATTCATATTTTCAAGGTTACTGTGATTAAATAAAAGTTTTCTGGTTATTGTAAAATAATGGTTATTTTTATAAATTATTTTTGGTACGAAGAAAAACTTTTAAAAACTGCTAATTATTTCTTTGACAAAATCATTTCAGCCAAACCTGACAGAATTGATGCTTTTGACGTTTCAGTGTAGTTGACTCTCTGACATATATATATTATTGTTTGACTGCTGGTGTTTTTAAAACTTCTTGAAAACTTTATTCGAATATTTAATTCCCATAATAATATAAATTTGATATTAAATATTAAATTGTGTAAAACATAGCATTTATTGATATGCATTATCAAATATTCAACAACTTTGTATTTTCAAATTCATAAAATGGCAATATTTTTTGCTTTATATCGTTGCTACGATTTGGCCGACTTATACGGTACAGTACTTTGATTTTTCCATCAACTTTATTAGAATCATTTTCAACACTAATTAATTCCCTTCGGCAAGCATAGTTCTCTCGGATACAAGTTTCGAATGTCACAGCACAAGCATACGTTAATTTAATTAAATTCTTAAAAAGGTTTGTTTACTTTAATGACGCGAAGGTTTATTTTGGAAGTTGATTTTTAAATGCGATATATTTTATGTGCCCACGGTTTATCCTGTATGTTTATATTTTAACAATTGAAGGTAAAAGGATTTCGGTTCTAATCATTTCTTTTCAAGGTAAATTTTTAATAATTATAAATTTTTAAAGAGTTAAACAATTAAAAATATTCGAATTATTATTTTTTCTTCTTTTTTAAATAGCTAAACCTAACGTTATTGTACAGCCATATCGATTTATTTACACAATAAAACAATGCCATAATTTATTTTACTTCAACTTGGTTCACCGAGACCTAATATTGTAATAATTACTATTATATTATAGATTGTTAATACTCGATTAATTTATCTAATATTTCAAATTTGATATATTTGTAACAACTTTACCATGATAGAATATCGCAAATTTTTTGTCTTTAAATATCAAATCTGAAAATCCAACATGAAGAAACTTGATATACATAAACATACAGTGTGTAACAAAACTTTTTGGAATTTTATTTACGTGACATAAATGTGAATAACTTTTTCAAAACAAAAGC